TTACTGAAGGATAAGTATGAGAAACTGGATGATAAACAGTTTGCTAAAGTATGAATAATTAATTAAGAGTTCTAGATTAATTTGTAAGGAATTGTCAGAGGTTAGATAAAACATATAAATTTGGGAACCAGGCAAGGAGCCTGAATTTTTTTTTTTTTTTAGAATTTTAAGTAATATTTGTGAAAGAATAATAGTTTTATGATCAACATAATCAATATAACATATATAATATAATTTCTTAGTTACGCTTTTTAATATTTTAGGTGGTAATGTATTTTCACCCACAAAAATTAATACCATAATCTTTTATTTTATTTAAAATTTTTTCTTGAAGGTCACTAGAAACATAATGAGAGAAACTGTGTCATATATTCATTATAGGTATTCTACCCTATTTCCCCCTAATACAAAGGAATCTGGCATGTATTTTTACTACAGATTATTTCCATTTCTTACTTCTTAAGATCATATAGCATTTTACTCCTTTTATCTGACAATTTTTCCTCCTGAATACAATTAGAATAAGCTAAAGATCTATTTTCTTTTCTGCAACCAAAATCCCAGCAAGTTATCTGGATATTGACAAATGATTCTAAAGTTTATATGGAAAGGTGAAAGATCCAGAAGAGCCATCACGATGTTAAAGAAGAATAAAATTGAAGGACTGATGTTACTCAACTTCAACACTTACTGTAAAACTACAGTAATTTAGATAGTTTGTTATTTGTGAAAGAATAGACAAATAGATCAGTGGAACAGAAACAGACCCCACAAATATGGTCAACTGATCTTTGACAAAGGAGCAAAAACAATACAATGGAGCAAGGATAGTCTTTTCAACAAATGGTGCAGGAACAATTGGACATCCATAGGCAAAAAAAAAAAAAAAAAAAAAAGAATCTAGACACAGACCTTATACCCTTCACAAAAATTAACACAAAATGAATCATAGACCTAAATGTAAAATGAAAAACTATAAAACTCCTGGAGGATAACATAGTAGAAAACCTACACACATTTATAGCAGCTTTATTCATAATTTCCAAAGCTGCTATAAATGTGTGGGGGCAGTTTTGTGTGGAAATAAGTTTTCAATTCATGTGGGTAAATACCAAGGAACTGGATTGCTGGATTGTGTGGTAAAAGTATGTTTAGTTTTATAAGGAACTTCCAAACTGCCTTCCAAAGTGGAAGGTATCCTTCAGTAGATGAATGGATAAACTGTGGCACAACCAGACAATGGAATATTATTCAACGATAAAAAGAAAAGAGCTCTCCAGACATGAAAAGACATGGAGAAACTTAAGTGATACTACTAAGTGAAAGAAGCTAATCTGAAAAGGCTACGTACTGTATGATTCCAACTATATGACATTCTGGAAAACACGAAACTATGGAGATGGTAAAAAGATCAATGGTTGCCAGGGGTTGGGAAAAGAGAAGATGAATACGTAGAACATAGAGGATTTTTAGGGTAGTGAAAATACTCTGGGTGGTATTATAATGATAGATATATGTCATCATACATTTGTCTAAACCCCTAGAATTTACACCACCAAAAGTGAATTGTAATATAAAACTATGGACTCTGGGCAATTATGATGCATCAATGAGGGTTCATCCTTGGTAAAAAAAAAATAAATAAATAAAGTACCATTCTGGTGAGTGATGTTCATAACGGGGGAGGCTCCATACGTGTGGAGCAGAGAACATATGGGAAATCTCTGAACCTTCCTCTCATTTTTATTGTAAACCTAAAGCCGGTCTAAAAAAGTAAAGTCTTTAAAAAAATTTAAACACTGAAAAGAAGGAAAGAAAGTAAAAGTAAAAATAAAGAAAAAATCTTGAAAGCAGTCAGAAATGATGCCTTATATAAAGGGGAACCCCACTTGGAATTATAGTCAATTATGAGACACAGACTAGAACCCTATTATATAGAGGTCAGAGGAAGTAGCACAATATTTTTCAAGTGTGAAGGAAAGAAATTACCAACTTCAAGGAAAACTTGTTTCTCTTTAGTCACACAGTACCTCTAACGCCACATTTGTGGGTTTTCCCACACCAAGCATTTCTGCAACTCTAAGCAGATACCAACTGTGTGTCTCACAATTTAATCCAATTCTGAAAATAACTGCCTAGGGTTAGCACAGACCCCACAGGTTAAGGGCCCAGCCCCCATGAGTCTCCCTATCCCCAGTTCAGATGCCAGTTCCAGACTGTCACCTGTACTTTCTGATCGACTGGCTACAAATCAGACCTCCTCCTCATGTTTGATAATTTGTTAAAACTGCTCACAGAACTCTGGGAAACACTTACTTTGGTTTACTGGTTTATTATAAAGGTCTCAACCTTATGGAACAACCTTATGGAAGAGATGCGTAGGGCCAGGTATGGGGAAGGAGCATGAAGCTTCTATGCCTTCTCTGAATGCATCAGCCTCCTAGAATCTCAATATGTCCACTGACCTGGAAGCTCCTTGAATCCCTTCAGTTAGTTTTTATGGAAGCTTTATTATGTAGGCATGATTGATGAACTCATTGGTAATTAACTCAACCTCCAGTAGTTAGTGTTGGGAAGTGGAGTGGGACTAAAAGTCCAACTCTCTAATCACATGGTTGGGTCTCCTAGCAACCAGTCCTTCACCCTTAGGGGATTTCCAAAAATCAATTCATTAATATAAACTCAGGTGTGGTTTTTATGAATAACAAAAGATGCTTTTCTCATCACTAAAAAGCAGGAAATTCCAAAGCTTTTAGGAATTTCTGTGTCAGGAACTGGAAATGAACTTTAAATATATATA